ATATAAAACCTAGACCTAGACCAAGAAGCTATTGTCCAAAAAGAGCAAGTGAACACTGCATGATTTAAAATCAGGAAATGTGTATGCCAAGAGTGTGTCCTTTCTCTGTATCTATTTAACCAGTGCTGAGAAAATCATTCAAGAAGTTGGACTCTGTGAAGAAGAATATGACCTCAGGATCACAGGAAGACTAATCAACAACCTGTGTTATGCAGATGATACAATCTTGCTTGCCTAAAATGAGGAGGACTTAAATTGCTTGCTGCAGAAGATCAGACTACAGCCTTCCTCATGAATTGCATCTCAACATTAAGAAGACAAAAATCCTCACCAGTGGACTGATAAATAGCATCATGATAGCTTTTGAAGAAGAAAATATTCAAATTGTCAATGATTTGTCTTACTTAGATTCATAATCAACAGCCCTGTTAAGGACTTCTCCAAATTACTGAGGAGCAGTGATGTCATTTTGAAGACTAAGGAGCGCCTGATTCAGATCATGGACTTTTTAATCACTTGCTTTGTATCTGAGAGCTGGGCAATGATTAAGGATGACAGAAGAAGTGATGCCTTTGAGTTGTGGTGTTGGAGAAAAGTATTGAATATTTCATGAACTGCCAAAAATACAAACCAATATGTCTTGGCTCTTTGGAGGCAAGGATGGGAAGCTTCTTATCACATAGCTTGTGCACGTTGCTAAAAGAGCTAACCTCTTGTAAAAGGATATCTTGCTTGGAGGGGTGGAGGGTTAGTGAAAGACAGGAAGACCCCCATGGAGATGGGGTGACATGGTGACTGCAGCAATAGGCTCAAATGTATAGAGAAAATTAGGATAGTACAGGATAAGATAGGGCTCAGAGCTATTGTTCACTGGAACACGGAGTCACAGTTGACTCAATGGCACCTGACAACAACAAGAAGTTAACTCTGGTGATGTCGTACATAGGGATTTGTGCTGTTAACTCAAAGGCACAGCTCTCTGGCAGTTCAAATCCACCAGCCACTCTGTGGGAGAAAGATGAGCAATCGCCTCCCCTGTGACTTAAAAGCCTCTGAAACCTGTTGGAGGGTTGGCAATGAGTTGGTCCTGACTACAGGACAACAATGAATGAGTCTCTACAACCATGTGAGCCAATTTCTTGAGTTGATTAATCTCCAATCTCTCTCAATATGTATATGTATATGTATATGTATATGTATATGTATGTGTGTGTATATGTGTATGTATATTTATGTGTGTATGTGTATGTGTATGTATACATATATGTATATGTATACGTATATAAATAAAAACACACACATATGAGCTCAAACTCACTGCCATCAAGTCAGAATCAACTCATCGCTAACTTGCCATGAGGCTTCAGAGTTGTAAACGGCATAAAAAAAAGGCTGTCCATCTTTCTCCCTTGGAGTTACTGGTAGATTCAAACCACCGGAGTAGCTTGGCTTTGGGGTGAGCAGTGCAATTCCCTATGGACTACATCACTAGAGCTCTATATATTCCGTGTGTGAGTGAGTGTGTGTGTGTGAGAGAGAGTGAAAGAGAGAGAGAAAGAGAGAGTGTGTGTGTGTATGTGTGTGTGTGTGTACTCCAGTGGATCAGTGGTAAGGAATTTCATTTGTACCCCATCAAGCATTTCTAATCCACAGCAGCTCTGGGAGAAGGATGGACCATGTCCTCCCAAGTGTTTCACAGACTCTGAACTGGTCAGCTATGAACTGTTAAGGATTTCATCTCACTTGGATCCACAATCAACATCCTTGGTACTACCAGTCAAGAGAGAAGAGATGTACTGTTTTGGACAAGTCAGCCATCAATGACTTTTTAAAAATGCTTAAGAACAATGAAGTCAGTTTGGAAACTGATATGCACCTGATTCAGGCTTTGGTCTTTTCCATTACTTGGTATGCATCCAAAAGCTGGACAGTTAATAAGGATGACAAAAGAATTGATGCCTTCGAGTTGTGGTGTTGGAGAAGAGTATTCAATATCCCATGGACTGTCTAAAGAACAAAGAGGTATGTCTTGGAAATAGTGCAGCTGGAATGCTACTTGGAGGCATAGACCACAAAGCTTTGTCTCATACTTTGGACAGGTTGCTTGAAGAGGCTTTTCCTTGGAAAAGGATATCATGCTTGGAAGGATGGCAAGTCAGCAAAAGAAAGACCCTCATTGAGACAGATTGACAGGTTACTACAGCAACAGGCTTGAATGTATCAGAGATGGTGAGGATGGCACAGGAGAGGACAGGATTTGTATCTGTTGTTCACAGGGTGGCTATGAGTTATAGTCAAATCCAAGGGCACTTAACAATAACAACATACCCACACACACATATGGGAACTGCTTTCAAGTCAATTTGAACTCATAGCAACTTTATGTTTATAGACTAGAACTGTCCTTCTTAAAGTTTCCAAGAGCTGATTTTTTTTTTGGAAAGAGATCATCAGACCTTTGTTCCAATCTCCAATGTGTCTATCAGTGGTCCCCAATCTCCAACCTTTTGGTAGCAGTTGAGCACAGAGACTATTTGAACCACATAGGGACTTCTTACCATTTAAATAAGACTAAAACATTAGAAACTTAATGGCTTTCTTGGGAATGCATAGGTAGGTGATAAAACCAAAAACATGTAAGCAAGGGAATGATTCCTAGAGTCACAAAGGTGGTCTCCTTGGCAGTGGAGGGAGCTTCTGCAGGTGAGTGGTCCCAATCATGAAGGGACATAAATGTAAATACATGAAGTTGTATCCATTTTATAACTTTAATATTTTATAACTACATTGATTCAATTTTCTGTATCTATATTGAATATTACTTTTTTTTTAAAAAAATGCACTGTTAGAAAAAAATTAAAGCAGCCACCAAGTGGCCTCATGAAGTCTATGAAGCAAGGCAAGTCCATGATGTGGAAGATGAATCAATCTTCTGACACTGGCACAACTGGTTGAACTGGGGCAATTTTTAAAAACTTTTTGTGTATGCTGTAAGTGAAAATTTCCAGAGCAATTTGGTTTTCCATGCAATCATTGATACATATTTTGGGTTATGACATTAATTGCAGTACCCACATTGTGGCAGCACTCTTCCTACTTCTTCCCTGTGTTGTTTGTTTCCATTCACCCTTTCTACCCCTTCTTGCCTCCTAAACTTTCTCCCTGGACAAATGCTGTTCTTTTAATCTCATCTGGTTGACCATTCTAAGGAATGAGTACCTCCCTCGTGTTACTACCATTTGCTTAGAGGTTTGTCTATGGTTTAGTTAAAAGTTGAGCCAAGGGTTAAATCTAATTACCTAGGATAATTCTTAATCCTTTCTCTTCCCCCATAAGAGAAAAGCACAAAAGTACTAAAAACTATTTGGAAGTCCTCCAACGAAAGATTTAACTGTATTAACAAATAATTCCTGTACCCCAAAAGCAAAGATTAGTACATTCAAAGAGGAGAGGGGTGAGTAAATTATCTGTCATCCCTACACTTCAAGAGCAATAAAGTAAAACTGAAATACTTGTGAGCTACCATCCTAGGTCTCTTCCCATCCAGGGTCAAAAGAAAGAAAAAACCAAAGACACATGGAAATAGCCCAAAGAACTAATGGATCATGCAAACTTCAGTCTCTAGGACTCTAAATGCAGAAAAATTAGATAGTGTCTGGCTGCCATGACCTACCACTCTGAAAGGGATCACATTACAAGATCCCAGATGGAATGGGAGAAAAATGTAGAATAAAACTTTAAAGTAATTAACAAAAAGCTAGGCTTATTGGTTGAACAGAGGCTGGTAGAACCCCTGATACCATGGCTTCTAGCCACTTTTCAAGAATGGGCAGAATTCATCCCATGGCTTAATTTTCAGCCAAAAAAATAAGTCTATACAGGGCACAACAGAGGTGTGTAATCCTTCAAATAATGTACCATTTGACCTCAGGGTCAATGCTTGCCCAAGAATAAATTGTAGGAGGCAAGAAGAGATAGGAAAGGGGAATGGGGATGGGACACACAGGGAAAATAAGAAGGATGCTGTTACCTTATGAGAACTGTCAGGAAACAGAAGTGTGTATTTGGAGTGGAACAGAGAACTGATTTCCTCTGTAAGACTTCACTCACTCACTTACTCACATACACAAACACACACATAAGCACAGAGGGACACTATATTTACATAATTTTAATACAGAGCTCTTTCCAAGTGCTCAAGTTTAACCCCCACTGTTTCTACTTCCGTTTTCTGTAATCCAACTTTGCTTCTTTCTCTTTTTTTCCACAGCAGTAACAAATACACATTCCAACTAGCTTATTTAGGAAAGGTGTTAACTTGGAGGGGGCAGGAAGAGTCCAGAAACAAAGGTCTTGGACAGAATAACACACCAAGATTTTTGCAACCAGTACCAAGCTGTTGTAAAATGTTCAGGCTGTAGATTTTAACTCTAGAACAGAATTACCTATTACCCACTAGGAGTGGGACACAGAGGGCATAAAAATGTCCAACTGATGAAGCCCAGGTCTATGTTCACAATTTTAAAATAAACGTTTTGTTAATAAGTGTGACACATGGTAAAAAGCATTTGATGCTATTTTACAAAGGGTAGGAGCCAAACCCCTTATGATCGAGATTTTAATTTTTAACAGAGAGAAGAACAAGTTATTCAATCTTCCATACCTGCTGTCCTTTTCTTAATGGTCCTCAATTCACAAAAATTCATTACATTGAGACAGAACTGACTCATAGCTGAGTCTCCAGTGGGTTTCTGAGGGTGGAGGATAAACAGGAAGAGATTGTTCATGTATCTCCCTAGGAACCACTGGTGTATTGGGACAGCCTTGGATTAGCAAATCAACTCCCTATCAGAAAACTACACCATCAAAATCCCCTGGTCCTTAATTAGTCTTCAATTAAGAGGGCACTGGCAGCTCTGAAGGGAATATATAGCCCACCTTCAACACCTTGAAAACTCTCTCTGTGCTACCCCACATAGAGAATGCTCCACCATACCTACCATAATGGTGTGCTCTGGAAATCTGGCCCGAACGAGCTTCACAAACTCCACAAAATGTTCCGAGTACCCATTGGCCACATCCAGGCAGATAAACTTAACCTCAGGCACAGCTTCCAGGATGCTGCTCATCTTCTCCAGATCATTCTGCCCACTGCCCGAGCTTACGGCTACATGCTGTGCCAAAAGAAGCCAAAGAAGACAGACATCAGTGACAGTATTTGCAAACCAGAACCCATCATCCTGGAACCAATATCATGAGCCTCTGAGGTCTATTCTGATCACAAACACAGCAGACAAGCTCAAGAAATGCATTATAGAAGAGGCAAAGGAGATTCGTTCATTACAATCTCAGCTTTGATTCTGTTATGTTCCTCATCATTAAATTGCATGTATACCTGGAGCTCTACCACAGAATCTTTCCTGTAAACACACTTTGCTAGTTTGGAAACCTGCTCCTTGGCTTTAGTTTTATTTTCTCACTTTCCAGGTGGAGTTCTACTGGTATGAATGTAGTGTTAAATGCACTCGATTCAAGGGCAGGTAAGAGAGAAGAGATGGGAAGGCTGTCCTGGAGGAGAAGAGAAGCTTGAAGACCAAAGGAGACCAGTCACCTTCAGGCTTCTTCATATCAAAGATGCGATCTTAAACCAGAGCTTCTTGCTTGAGGATAGAGAGGAGTAAGGCGGAAGCATTCAAAATTCCTGAGAAATCTCTTCATTTTCACTTCCAGTAAATTACTGACAAGACATGCAGATTTTTAACCTGCACGGTTAAAATCCTTCCCATCAAAGGAATAAAATGTCTCAACACATAAGAGGAAGTGAGCCTAAAAATGACCTTAAACTGTCCCCTCTGAGTCCTAAGTCTGAAGCCAGCATGCCCTCAACAGTCATGTCTCTCCCCAGCCTCCACAGCTTCCATACCTCTGAAACTTGCTGCTATTCTTTCTCTGAAATTTGACCCTAGAAAGGGTTTGTTGTCAGTAATGTGAACCTCAGTGAAGCCACACAATGGATCTCTGACTGAGAAAGTAGCTCACCTTTCATAGAAATATTTATAGCTTTGCTCTTATCCCTAAATCCTTAACTGCAGATGAGGAATATCCCTCCTATTTTAGGGAGCTCTTGAGGCACAGTGGTTAAAGCCACCAGTGAAAGATGAGACAGTCTGCTTCCATGAGGACAATGGCCTTGGAAACCCTATGCGACAATGCTTCTGTGATGTCAGGGTCACTGGGTATAGCGAGAATCAAGTAAGTGGCCACAGGTTTGATTATTCTTGAGAAAAAGAAAATCACAGCAATGCTCTGAAAAAAAATGTAAATGTGAAAAAAATATAAAAGCACCCATGATATAGTTGATTTTCTCTATGTATTCATTTTCCATTATTAACAAACTACCATTTGTCAACCCAATCCAGCCCTTCTTATTCCTCCCAGAAGAGCTCTATCATCTTTTTTATTTACCTGTTCAGTAGTTTCAAAGGTGATTGTTGTGCTGTGTCACTGAGAGAGAACTAACCCATAGCTGACCCTCCAGGGGTTTTCAGAGGCAGTAAATTCCACAGGAAGAGACTGCTTATTCTTCTCCCACAGAGAATGGTGGATTTGAACCTCGTGTCTTTGGGATTGCAGCGCAGCTTCTTACTACTGTTGTTTTTGATAAATGCCATCAATGACTCATAGCGACCCGATGAACAAGACCTGAGGTCTTTTTATAACTATGGCCATTTCTCAACGTTCATAGAGTTTCTAGAGGCATGTTGTCTAGGAAGTGGATGACACCGGAAAACTCTACACAGAAGTTCTAATCGGCTACTATGAGGAGGAGTTGGCTTGATGGCAACTGTTGCTGTTAGGTGCCTTTGGGTTTGTAGCATAGCTTCGTACCACTAAAGCCAACAGAGCTCCCTGTTAAAGGTTTGTACGTGGAATTTCAGACAGTTTGGTTTTTCTTCAAAGGGGGTAAATAAACTAAATTGTAGATGAATGAGCTTAGATGAATGTTTCCATAAGCAGTTTAGAGGAATAATTGTACAAGGGCACTTGGTGATGAAGGCTAGCAACACATTGCGAAAATTTACCTGAAAGAGGCCAAAGGTTTAACAAGCAAAACCCAACCCCTCTACTGTAGTCCAAGTTTCTGACTCCTGGTAACACTCCATTAGGTGTCATCCTTCTCTCTCGGAGCACATGGTGAATTCAAACTGCCAACTTCTCAGTTAGTGGCCCACCACTTAACCTTCCACACAACCAAGCTCCATATAAAAACAGCAACAACAACAAAATCATTGCTCCTTAAATTCTACTATAAGCTTAGAGAGGGAAAGAAGGTGCAAACACCTATAATACATTTGAATACAAGAAGGCAAAAAAGTTAATGGCCGACTTTAGTCCCAGATTTATTTTATCTCCAAAATCACCTCCTCACTTATAAAGACATAATTAAAGCATGGTATTAGCAACAGCAAAAAAGTGTAAATCAGAAAGAGTTGAAGTTGTTTTCCAATCACAATAGGAATACAGAAGGGAAAGTCTCTTGTGGAGATAAACGTCTTTGCTGGCACTTGCTCAGGCTCAGAAAACGCTGGGAGCAAAGTCAAGACTGTTGCACTGAGACTTGTCTTTATTAAAATTCTTTAAAAAAATCTTACTAAGACATAACTCATCTACCATACAAATCATTCATCTAAAATGTACAAGTCAATATTTTCCTTCTGTTCATAGACTTGTGCACCTAACAGCACTATGTTATTTTTTGTTTGTTTTCTTTTTCCATATTATTTTATTTTTTAAATTGTTCTTGTGATTTGGGTAAAGGTTTACAAAGGAAATTAGTTCTCTACGCAACCACTCATACACGTTTTGTTACATGCCATAGACGGCAATCCTCACAATGTAGCACCATCACTCATCCTGCTTATTAGTACTTCATTTCTTTTTATGAGAAAATAATCCATTGTGCAGACACGTCATGTCTTCTTTATCCTTTCATGTGCTGATGAGATATTTGGATTGTTTTTCCTTTGGGCTATTGTAATGAACACTGGTGTACAAGTTCCTACAGGGACATATGTTTTCCATTTATCCTGTGTATACACTGAGGCATAGAATTGCTGAGTCATATAGTGTCTCTCTTTAATCTTTGAAGGAACTGCCAGACTGCTTGTCCAAACCCACTGCCCGGTTTCAGTACCTCTCCCTGGTAGTGTCTGAGGACTCCAAGTTCTCCAAAGCCTCAACACTTGCTATTATCTATCCTTTCAATAATAGTCATCCTATTCAGTATATACGGAGAAGCTTCGTCTCACATACTTTGAGCTTGTTGCTAGGATAGGCTATTCCTTGAAGAAGGACATCATGCATGGATAGGTAGAGGGATGGCAAAGGAGAGCAACACTCTCAACTAGGTGGACTGACACAGTGACTACAGCAATGGGCTCAAGCGTGTCAGAGATTGTGAGGATAGCACAGACTGGCACAGGGTTCAGATCTGTTGTTCATAGGGTCGCTATGAGTCACACTCGACATTACTGAACAATAAGTTGGTATAATGAGTTTTACACTAACTTAAAAATGACTGTTTACAGCTAACTATTTTTTTCTACAGCCAAGAGACATGATCAGATGAGATTCATCTCAAAATACCTGGCGGAAAACAAGTCTTCCCAAACCTCTTGAGATATAATAAGAAAACAGTCACTTCTTGCAGGTGAGTCCCAACAGCTTCTTAGCACTACATAGAACAGGCTTCTTCAGCTGAATTCTGGCAATAATGCAGAGCTGGGGATCTCTATTTCCTTTCTCTAGATCTTTCCTGAACTCAGAACCAGAGACTTGTTTCTGTTTATCTGCTGTCAGTTAAGATCTCTGAAGTCACTCCTGCCCTGGTACCATGTGCAAATTATAGTGAGGCTTCATACCTGCAAGCATTCTGGGTGCTTCTTGGCAAAAAGCTTCCAGTCATCCAGGGTGTAATGCTTATGAATGGCTGTAAACATGCAGTGCTAGGAAACAAAAGAACATTATTAGAATAAGAAGCCAGAGGAGATATTTCCTCCCCCGCCCCATGGACTGCATGCAGTATCTAAGCATTTGGGCTTCTGTCATTCACATTTAAATGGATTTGAATGTGCTTCTAGCAGCTAAAAAATAAAACAAAACCAGACAAAGGTGTCTCCAGTGCAACTGTAAACTGTGCTTGGCATTTTGATCTGATTAGATGGTACTGCACTGGGGACTTTTGAGGCTCTGCCAGGAGGCAGGCGGAGATAAAAGCCAGATCCCTGAGGCCTGCTGCAGGGGCTCCAGCTCCCACCCGCACTGGAGCTGGGCCAAGGGCAGCAGAGACAGCGATAAAGAAGAAGAGAACCAGCACAAAACTGTCCTTTTCTTTCTCACTGCCATCAAGTTGGAACTCACTCATAGCGGACCCCACACTGGGTTTCTGATGGTTGTAAATCACAGAGGAGAAGAACTGCTCTTCTTTTCCACTGGGAGCTGCTGGTAGATATGAACAACTAGAGAGGTTTAGTCTTTGGATTAGCAGAACAACTCTCTTCAGCCTACACCAGCAGAGTTCTATCAGAGAACCTGACTAAAGTAAACAGTGTGATAAAGGCTCCCACCCTGCATAAGCATTCCCACCTTTACTCCAAAAAATATTCCTCAATGTTAGATAGAAAGAGAGCTGAGTGAGATAGAAAAGAAGTTGATCCCAAGTTATGAAAAGGCCTTGGACCTGATTGGGATGCCAGGTGACCGCACACAGAAAAGATCAGAATGGTGTCCAGGCAGACAAAAGCAGTTTATTTTTACACGGGCTCTTAAGGAGATTAAGAAAGGGTGGTTGTTTGCTCAGGAATTTGGGGACAGGGTATTATCAGGATGTGACTGAGTCCAAGGCCCAATTTGGTTCTGGCTGGCTAGTAACCTTGCCAGGTTATGGTCAGGCCTTATCAAGACAGTGTTAGGCCTCCTCAAGGCATGGTCAGGTTGGAGGAACTGTTACATTCTTCCTCCACTTGAACTCAATTCCATCAAGTTAGAACCTACTCATAGCTGATCTTTCAGCAGATTTTCAGAGGTGAAAAATCTCACTGGAGGATACTGCTCATCTTTCTCCCATGGAGCAGCTGGTGGATTCCAATAACCTGCATTTCGTTTGACAGCACAGCTCCTTACCCAAGAGGCCACAGGAGTTCTCCACATCTAAAACTTCTGACTCTAGAATTCTAAGACTGGACAATCTTCCACTCTGGGAATGCTAGAAGTAGATATTGCCTGGCTCTTAGCAAATGGTTAGGTTTCTGTGCACTCTGTCTCACTGAAAAGAAGTCTTTCTTATGAAAATGAGAAAAGCTACCAAGATTTTTAATCCTTGGTGATGCAAATGGATAAGCATTCAGCTATTAACCAAAAGATTGGAGGTTTGAGTCTACCTAGAAGCACTTTAAAAGACTGCACTGGTGATTTCCTTTAGAAGTCAGCCAGTGACAGGTTTACTCTGGCATGCCCGGGCTCCTGTGAGTTGGAGGTAATGCATTGGCAACTGGGGGGTTACTAGTAACCTGATTATGTGAATTAAGTGACTCACTTCTTGTTCTGAGTCCATGTG